CAGTCTTCTGGGCTTTTTCAATCCTTGGCCTTCATCATATTAAAGGTATGTCTGACTTACATCTGTAGGTTTTGGTTGGCTCATGGCACTGGTTTCTCTTTGTCCAGTGAGAAGGTGAAAATTTCATGAAACTTGTTTAGGTTTCCACAATAAGCCACTTTGCTAAAAGTCATCCCCATGTGTTGCTGAATTCTATGTGCTTTTGCTGCAGCAGTTCTTTTTCTACACAAACTTCTAGCCAGTCCTGAATAAAGAGGACACTTTTGTGCAATGAGCCATGGACTAGTCGGAAGAGATTCCTATTTCCCCTAGTGTCTTTTCAGATTATTTTTCTTGTTCTTTCTTTCTGTTTAGGACTTTAAAGCACTGAACTTTGGCTTGAAGAATTAAATCTTCTGAGACAGTCAGCTCCATGAATGATGCATCCGATGAAGTGAGCTGTAGCTCACGAAAGCTTATGCTCAAATAAATTGGTTAGTCTCTAAGGTGCCACTAGTTCTCCTTTTCTGTTTGCGAATACAGACTAACAGGGCTGCTACTCTGAAACTTTTCCTATCTGAAACTTCAGGAGAAATTTACACAAGCAGAATGTAATTACCCAAGTCAAAATGTGACCAAGATAACAAGCACTCCCCATCCTACAAAGCACCATGTGATCTTTAATGACCACATGTGGTCATGCCTGAGTGATACAACTCATTCAAAAGACAGCTCCTTCAGTAGCAATACCATGCTGGGTCACTAAATCAATAGTGACTCAGAAGAGCAGCCCTTACCGAACTGCTGTCACCACTTCCTGCTGCACACAGAGGGTTCTCAAAGGTCTTCTATCTAACCTAATGCTGATTAGCTTGTGAGACCTGACACGATGACAGTGCATGGTGTGTATGGTAAGGTGGCATGGCTGTTCCCAGCCCTACAGAGAGATGTTTAGGTAACCTTGACTAGTTAGTGCCAATATTCACCAGGCCTGCCCAGCAATCTCATGGCAGTGTAAGAGGGGAGTCTCTCCCCACTCAGCAGGTAACAGGAGTCGTTGTACTGGTAATTTACATATCACGGACACTGTGTCCCTCATCACAAGGAGAGTTTTGCTGGATCCTGAGAGCCAGCACTGGGTGAATAATTGATAGGGAATTGCTTCTCTTTTTCGGTCAGGTAGGATGAGATTTTCAAAAGTGCCCTGCCAATGACCTAACTTTGCTCCCTTTGAAGTCAATGGGAGCAGAGTTAGACCAGTGCAGAGAGCTTCTGAACATCCCACTGCTCACAAAGAGCTTGCACTGATAGCAACTGTTGGGTGAGCGAGTGAACAGGGACCCAGCCTTCTATGTAGAACAGGGATTAGTTTATAAATACAATTCAGACTAGCTCAGCCTCCGAATCACAGTTTAACAAACAATCCACATCTTTATTGCCACCATTTAAGAATAAGAAATGTGCCCTGTTTGAAATCTCCTGGGGCTGGCACGGCGTGAGGACAAGTGCTGGTCAGAGCATTGCCTAAGACACACACGTACAGGTCAGGAGGCAGAATCAGTGGGTGAATAAGCCCCATTCATTTAAAACTCAAACTAATCATGTGACTTGATCACATGCATTTTTTAAAAAATAGATACACATATGCAAGAGCCTGGCCCGTGGACTCTGCCTGTGTTTCACAAAGACCAGGCCAGCACAGCATATGAAGGGGTAGTTTAGTCTCCCATTTGTTCTGTCAGAGAGCATAACAATGACTGTGGGACTGCAGGCAAAGAAGCCAGCATCAGAGGTTGGAAGGAGAGAGGAGATTCATTCTCCCCCTGCACTATTTAATCAGGGGCATATGCCTTTTCACTAAGGTTGTAACCCTTTTGGGTGCAGAGACAACCTTCAAAATATCACCAAACCATTGGGGGAATATTTGGCAAGTGATTTATCCCAAAAGTCACGGGGGCTTTTGAGTGGTCCTTGCACCGCTGCCCAGGGTGGGCCTTTGGGGCTCCCAAAACCCTTGGCTTTGGGGATTGTGGTTTTATGGGGACCCCCCTCTAGCCATCTCCAGGCTGCTGCCACAAACTACTCTCAAGCCATCACCTGGCTCTCTGAATTCGAGCAGCTTACCCAGAGTTGCCACTGAAGTCACCAACCACAAGGGACAATGAGTGTGGTATAAGAACCACCCATGTAGAATAGAATAGAATAGAATAGAATAGGTGCGGAGAGGGGCTGGATCTCAGCAGAAAAACCTATTCAGCTACAGAGAGAAGACATGATGAAGGTAAAAGACATGGGGACCAAGCTCAGCACAAACATACCCGTGCAGTTCCCATGAGAGGGGGAAGGGAACATCACCCATCAGCAGGACCATCCCTGGCCCATCTTCAGGAGCAGCCTCTCCTCAGTAGGAAAGAGAAGGAGCCCCTTAGGGAACAGAGAGGAAGGGAACTCTAGTGAAGGGAGATGGGGAGAAATAGAAGGGCAGTGTGGCATAGGAGAAAGCAAGAGGAAGAAGCCACAAAAAAGGCATTTTACTGGCATTTGGGGACTCTGCTTCTGACTGGGGAAGTCCCCCTGAAAGCACAGTACCTTTGGATCCCCCCTCATACCCACCCAATCATTCTGTGGTTCACGCACACTGGAGGCTACACATAAGATGTCCTGCGTGCGCTGTATGCTTCAAGGTATGTTGACAAAGGGAACATTGTTCTTTGTATTCTCAAGGGCTAACTGCTTTCTACTGACAGGGAATGGTTTCATGGCCATGGAATTTGGAAGGTCCCAGGGCTCTGAAATTCTGCAGCTCAGGTAGGACTTGCTCGGCTGGTGTGGTGTGACGTGTTTTGATGTTGCTGCAGAATCCTGCTAAACCTGGTCCCCCAAGTCTTTAGTGGGTCACCACAAGATTTCTGTCTACTACCTACAGGTACAGGAGAGGATATCTCCCTGCTAGATGCTAATTTCACCGGGCAGTCTCACTGGTGCCAAAGCCAGTTTAAAATGCTACATAAAATATACATGTATTGAATTGTCATTTACCTGAAGTGTAGATCAGAGTTTGTGTTTACACAGAGCCTTCCTTCCCTAAGCATCTTAGGGACCCAATTCAGCCCTGTGCCAGCTGAGAAGTGGCCTGCTGAGTCCCCGCCCCCAATTCTGTGAATGCCAGAGGCCAATTTAGCCCCTAGCCCATGTTAGAGTAGTTTCAGGAGCTGCCCTACCTTGATCCACAGCCCCTATGGGCCATAGCAGCAGCTGGGAATAATCAGGGCATAACTTGTCCACGTCTCCTCCCTCCCCCGGCCTGCCTCTTACACATCTCCTGCGCCAACGGCTCTTGTGGAAACATAGAGCTGGCTGCACCAACTCCGTGTTTGCTGAGGAGGCCTCCTACACTGGGATGCTCCTTGGGGGACCCTAATGGCTGCTTCCAAGTCACTTTGCGCAGACATAGCCAGTGCACAGTGGCCCTGATGCAGGAGTGAATTCCCCCTGATAGCTATATCAGTACAGCCCCACTTAAATGCACTGGGATGGAGGGAGACAGACAACCAGTATATAACCAGGTAGGGGAAAGGGGAATATCAGCAGGGTGAGCCCCTATTCTTAATAAACAGGCTGGAGACATTGTCATTGCAGAGGAGCTGACCTCCCCTTTCAGATCTGATCGGATAGACCATCACGCAGCGATAATAAGTAATAATAATACTCAGCACCTATAAATTCCTGCATCCTCAGTCTACCCTGAAAGGACTTAGCACTTGCTACAATCATTTATTGGCATTCACCACTGTATATCTGAGTGCCTGCAAGCCTTGAGGTCTCAATAAAAGAGGCCAATTACTGTGCTCCCTGGTATTTGCAGAAGACCACCTAGGATGGCCACACAGGCAAGGAGACAAATCTTTCTTTGGCAAAGAGAGCAACTTCTCCTAAAAGTTTATAAGTTGTGCTTAAGCTGATTTCTACAGGGAGTGAATTCTAGAGCAGTGTTTTTTAGCCTTTTAGATACCGGGAACCGGCTTGCTGCCTTCCTAAACTGTGTCATGGAGATCTTAGGGACTGGTACCGGTCCACGGACCAGTCATTCAGAAACACTGTTCTAGAGGAGCAGCAATTCACGAAAGCTCAGCAACCAAATGTCAGAAGCATCACTGCTGGGAATCCTTAGGTCAATACTACTGAAATGAATTCAACCCTAATCAAATCTATGGCTCCAGGTACAGCAGTCCAGGTATGCCAAAACTCAGGCTTAGAGACACTGAGCAATCCCTCATTGGCTTGCGTTAGGCAGTATATGCGAACGTATCCTTTGATAGATATGGAACTGGTTCCACAGCATTTACCACACCTCCCTGGCAAACCTGACATACTCTTTGCAATTTAGCATGGCTATTAATTGGATGCCAGTGGATTTTCTCTCCACCCCCCACCCCCCACCCCGCCCTGTCCATCTACAGTAATTAGTGGGTGCTGCAAGAGACTTTGTACTTCAGAGGAAATTAGTGCTAAGGAAGCCCACCCCCCCACCCCCCATTAAAATAAAAAAACAAAACAAGCAACATAACTATCTGGATCCTGACTGCATGACTGTCAGTGTTATGGCAGCATCCAGCCTTCTGACTGGATTGTAATTGATCACCACTCTGCAATAGCTCTGACCAAGCCTGAATTAGTTAACTGAAATGCTGTACTTTTTTTATTATTATTATTATTATTTGTGACCCTGGTTACACATTCACTCCTCACCCAGTCTGAAGTTTTGAAGTCAGCCGTGAAGTGGTTTGAAATGGTAACACTGCGGGCTGGTTTTACCACAATATGTGCTGAGCTGGGGTTTGGGGAAAAGCAACAAGGAGGAACACTGCAAACTAAGAATTAAATTTTTTGGACTGGTTCGACTATGATGTCATGGTTTCCCAGCTCCCCCACGATTGGCTGAGGGGTTGAGCATCTGCTGAGAGCTAAGAGCTGATTATTTGCCTGAGGTTCAGACCTTTCAGAGCAGCTTTGAATCATGGCTGGTTGTCGTGACAACCTGGATAGTGTCAGCTCCTGATAACCAAATAATGAGGTTGTCACCCTCCATCAGCAAGGTTTAGTGATCATTAATGTATCTGAGGGAAACGAGTGAAGAGGAAAGGTAGGGAGATCATTTGTCGCTGCTGGCACACACGACCAGCCTGCCATGCAAAGGTGCTTCGTTAGCTAGGAAACACCTAACAACACATAGCTATGGAAACCAGTTAGGCTGTTTCACAACAGTGAGTGTGTCAGAACAGCTCAGTTATGGGATCTGGTACCTATGGAAATCCAAGCAGAGGAGAAGCAAGAGGAATTCACAAATATTGAACTGAAATGACTCGAGCCAGCTATGATCCAGTATCCAGGTGGTTAAACCCTTCACAGTGGACAATGACACCGCATGGTCCAGGGTAGAGGGCACAGGACTGGGGGTCAGGAGACCCGGATGCTACTCCTAGCTCTGCCACTGACTTCCTGTGTGACCTTGGGTAAGTCACTCAATCTCTCTGTGCCTCAGCTTACCCCATCTGTAGAAAGGATAATATGATTATACTTACCCACTTCTGTGAAGAGTTTTGAGGTCTAGGGATTATAAATCCTAACTACTAGTTATTGAGGGAAGTGGCTGCTAGCCATGGCAGTTCCATAGGAGAAGGACTCATGGTCGAGCTCTACCAAGTGATCCCATCAGGTCAAAGATGTGGATGACCAATTAGAACAGAGACTCCCTCTGCTCAGTGCTGCTACTTTCAATGCTTGCAGTCATTTATACATAAAGAGAGAAGCCAAGGCAAGCCCTCTGCATTAAACTATCTGTTCCCTGTCACTAAACATTCAATATATTCCTACTTTGCCCCCTTTACTAAATCTATAACCCGATCTTTTGCCTCATCCTCCTTATGGGCTTGATCCTGCATTGACTGAAGTCAATGAGAGTTTTCTAATTGACTGCAATGGGCACAGGTTGGGACCTATATTATAACATGCTTTTTACCTCTGTCCACAGTCCCAGACCTTTGTGTGTCATCCACACACAACTTGGGGACATTCCATTACTGAGTTTTGTAAACTGCTGCACCCCCTAAAACAAACTTTAACAGAAAAATGAATTTTACAAATGTCCTGGCGATCTCAGTTGCTGCTTGTGCACACTCATTTCAAGGGTGTTTTTAGAAAATTCAAATTTTATAATTTTGCCGAAAAGGGAGTGGCTGTGGAAATTATCTCTGTAAATAACTATACATTAATCCCTGACTGCAAGAGTTAATTGACAGAATGATTATTTTTGCCACCTTTCCTACACTGTTTTTAAAGTACCTACCTCAAATCTACTCTTTCACTGGTAGAAGAATATTCATAAAGTGTTTGCATTTAAGATCAGCTGTAGCTTATGTGATTATATTTTAGTTTATGTTTTTGCCTCCAATCATAATTTGGTCATACTCAAAATTGAGTGCTTCAACTGTGGATTTAATTGAGTTGTAATAAGAAAATTAACATATGTCAATTAAACACCAATTGACTAATAAGACTGTGTTTAATAGATATCTATCTTAATATATAGTTGTTACATCTCATTAAGCAGTTGCTGAATCCCAGTAACTGTTATTAATAATCAACTGGCATTTAACCGGCATCCAATAACTAGTACCGCTAAATGCAGTGTTGACATACTATGGTGATGAGTAGCAGTATAAAACCCTAAGGTAAGATCTTAGATGCAGGAGGAAAAATATCAGAATAATAATGGGCCACAAAATGGACCCTAGATCCTCAAATCGTGCCTCCCATAAAAGGAGCAATGTGTAGGGATATCCACAAGAAGATCCCTGTCCCAGAGTCCACTCCTTCAGGAAAGGATGATCTGAGACAATGATCTGAGACAATACTACTATACATTGTATTGCATGGTCTATATCAGGGGTCGGCAACCTTTCAGAAGTGGTGTGCCGAGTCTTCATTTATTCACTTTAATTTAAGGGTTTGCGTGCCAATAATACATTTTAACATTTTTTAGAAGGTCTCTCTCTATAAGTCTATATATTATATAACTATTGTCGTATGTAACAAGGTTTTCAAAATGTTTAAGAAGCTTCATTTAAAATTAAATTAAAATGCTGATCTTACGCCACCGGCCCGCTCAGCCCGCTGCTGGTCTGGGGTTCCGTTCACCTAGGCCGGCAGTGGGCTGAGCGGGGCCTGAGGCTGGGACCCTGGCTGGCAAGGAGCTGGCAGCCAGAACCCCAGACCGGCACTGGGCTGAGCAGCTCAGCCTGCTGTCAATCTGTGGTTCCGTCCGCCGGCTCCTGCCTCAGGCCCCAGCCTCAGGCCCCGCCTCAGACCGCTGCCGGTCTGGAGTCCCGGCCCTGTCCACATAGAGTAGGTACCTACCTTCTCCCTGGTTCTAGCCATTCTCTTCCTCTCTCTGCACTGAGCTGAGGGTGGGAGTGTGCTGAGAATAGGGCTGGGGGTGAAGGAGCAGGCTGGGGGTTGGGGTGTAGGGTCTGGCCAGGAGCTAGAATGAGGGAGGGGGCTCAGGGTTGGGGCAGGAGGTTTGGGTGTGGAGCGCTTACCTGGGCAGCTCCCATTTGGTGCAAGGGGTGCAGGTGGGAATGGTGGGGGGATGCAGGAGCTCCTGTCTGGTGCTCAGGGTGAGAGTGGGGATGTGGGGGGTACAGGAGTCAGGGCAGGGGGCTGGGGGTGTGGGGGGGGGGCAGGAGTCAGGGCATAGAGCTGGGGGTGTGGGCTGGGGTTGTGGGGGTGCTCCCAGCCCCCTGCCCTGAGCAGCTCACGGCAGGGGGCTGGAGGGGATATGCCCTGATTCCACCCCCTTCCCCAAGGTCCCCGGAGCAGAGGGCACGCTGCGGCTCCGCTTTTATCTCTCCCCCACTTTTACATCTCCCCCTCCATACTGATCAGCCACAGGGAGGGAGAGGAGGGGCAGGAACCCAGCATGCTGGGGGAAGAGGCAGGGGGAGGGGGAAGCTTGCCTGCCCTGCAAGGAGAGAGCGGTGGGCGGGGGGTGGAGAAGAGCGGGCCAGGCAGGATTTTCAGTGGCACGCTGCTCTCTGCCCAGGTCCGGCAGACAGCAGCGTGACATTAAAAATTGGCTCGGGTACCATGTTTGGCACGTGTGCCATAGGTTGCCGACCCCTGTTCTAAATACTGCATAAGCCTTAATTAACCCTCACAAAAGCCTGGTGCAGTAGGGAAGTAGTATTATCCCAGTTTTACAGATGGGGAAACTGAGGCAGAGAGGTGAAGTGACTGGCTCAGTGCTGCCCATCAATTCAGTGGTAGAGTCAGGAACATATCAAGGAAGTCCCCAACTCTTTGTCCTGTGCACCGTCCACCAGATAATTTTGCCTCACAATTTTGCAATGGCGTTTTACAAATTCAAACACCACTCAAAATGTTTCTTTTTAAAAGTGCAATGGAAACAGGGGTTTGGTTTGGATTTATATATTGCCCTGCAGGATTTGCAACCCAAATCATCATGGTATTGGGCTAGTGCATGAGACTCACATGGTCAAAAAGTGAGCAGTATGTTTTTACTGTGCAAACAAAATTTTAGCTTTGTTGTTTTTTAAAAAAGCTGTCAAGGATGAGGAGTTACTCAGAGATCTAAAAGTCAGGTTACCATAGGTGGTGGCTTAGGCTAGCTGCCTGAATACATACCCAACGGGTCTAGGCAGGGATGTGCTTGAGCAGCGAGCCCCAGTCACTGCCTGTGCTACCCCAGCTACACAGCTATTTTTAGTGCGCTAGTTGGAGGAGAACTAGCAAGGGTACATCTATGCAAACTCAAATATAGACATACTCCTAGTGAATAGGGCACTGGATTTGAGGGTGAGACCCTGACGGCATTGAAGCTGATGGCAAAACTCCCATGGACTTCAACGGGACTAGGATTTCACCCAACATTGGTATTATTCTTTGCTCTGCCATTGACATAATGTGTGAACCTGGACATGTCACTTAGCCTCTCTAGGTCCTGGTTTCCCCATCTATGGAAATGGTCATATTTACTCATGTTTGAAAAGCACTCTGAGATCTGTGTATGAAGAGTGCTGTGTGAGGGCTAAGTATTTTTGTGATTAGAAGAGGAAATAGGGGAGCGTTTGGGAACTCATCATTTAGCAAAAATGACTCAGACAGAGTGCTGGATCCTCAGCTGGCGTAAAATCACCATTGTTCATTGACTCCCGCTCTACATCTCAGTTTTCCCATCTGTAGAGTAGCCAGAGCTAAACTGAACATTTTCAAACCTCCATGAAAATACCTGTGCAAAAATCATTCACTTTTTTGTGCAAAACTATTTTCTGTTTTGCAAACAGCTTCTAGAATGGTCCCTATTTTTAGAAAAGCTGAAGTTTCAACTAAACAGGCTTCAAAAAGCATCAAAAAAGTTCAAAAACATTTTTCTGCATTTTCTTTCCAAAAACTGGGGCTATGAATACTGGCTCATGTGCCTCACAGGAATGCTGCACATAGATGGGCTCGAGAACTGAGGTTCAGACCTGGATTCAGGCTTAAAACTCCAAATCCAAACATGGCTGCAGTTTGGTTAATTTAGGTTCATTTTTAGGTGTGAAGATTAAATATTGTACAGCTGGAAAGTACTATGGTATGAAAGTGCTAAACAGAAAAGCAATTCATAACCTTCTGCTTGTGATATCACAACTGCCTGTGATTACTGTACACTTAGACCAATGTTTTCAAAAGAGATCAATCAAGTTGAGTGTCCAGCAACATCAGATGACTTGGGTCTGGTTTTCAGAGGTGCTGAGCACGCACAACTCCAGCTGAAATCAGCTGTGTGTACCCAGCACTTCTGAAAGTAAGTCCCAAGTTATCCCACCCTGGCACCCCAAAATGGAGGCACCCTAACTAATTGGTCACTTCTGAAAATTGGACTTTTGGTCCCGATCCGGAGTGACTCTCAAATGACTTTAACATGGACTTGGCCTCAGTGCAGTATTGGGCAGAATGAAGATTCTGATCTGAAGCCTATTAAAGTGAATAGAGATCCTCATTGATTTCAGTGGGCTTTGGATCAGACCCTTAATGCCAACTACCTCAGAGCAGAAATAAGGGAAGAGACGAGAGAGAGAAAATTACCATCAGGAGAGATCAGCAGAATGGTTTCTAAACTGAATGATTTTCAAAGTTCCCCCCAAAACATAAGTGTGTCATTTAAGGCGGGAACCTCATTACAAGAGGACAACTGCCAAAGCAACAACCACAAAGATACAACAGCTGCTAAGCCTGACACCCTTGAGAGTATCCCTGCAACAACTGGGAAGCTTGCGCTCAGCAGTGTGTCAATTCCCTGCAATTGACGCCGCACCAGAATGACAGCTTTCCTTATATCAGGCCTTCCTCCCATGGTCCTCTCAGGTGCTGCTGCACCAGGTGCCTCATCCTTAGGAGACTGAGAAAGTGTCCCCACTAGGGTTGTTAAGGCCACAGCAATATTGACTCTTGT